AGGGAGGCCGAGATGGGAGGATCACCTGAGGTCAGGAGTTCAAGATCAGCCTGGCCAACATGGTGAAACCCTGTCTCTACTAAAAATACAAAAATTAGCCAGGTGCGGTAGTGGGTGCCTGTAGTCCCAGCTACTCACGAGGTTGAGGCAGTAGAATCGCTTGAACACGGAAGGCAGACACCGCAGTGAGCCGAGATCATGCCACTGCATTGCAGCCTGGGTGATAGAGTAAGATTCTGTCTCAAAAAAAAAAAAAAAAAAAAAAAAAAATCATATTGGGAAATAAAACTGTCCTCTTTGGGAGTTATCTTTCCTACTGGACAGAAATCTGTAAGTTAACTTATATACATATTCTCCAGTATATTCATGACATATTCTCTAGTATATTTCCCTACACTAGCGGTTTTCAAAGCATGGTCTCTAATTGGAAGCACAAGCGTCACCTGGGAACATAGACATGCAATGCTCAGGCCCCACCTCAGTCCTACCGAGTTAGAAACTCTGGTGTGGGGCCCAGCAGCTGGTTTCACAAGCCCTGCAGGTGATGATGATACACTCTAATGTGTGAGAGCTAAGGCTCTAAATGTCAAATAATCTTTAATTATAAAATAAGTATCTATGAAAAATGCTACAGTATGACATTAAAAGGGCACACCACCCACCTTTAACTTTATTTCTAAATTTAAATATTTTGTCTGTCTGATGTTAAATTTGCTGTTTTGGTTTTCAAATACTAAGACAGTTTTCATCTGTTCCTAATTTTCTCTTTTTAAATAAAAAGTGGTTTTCCAAATCTATCCATTTTTCTCTTCTTTAAGCTATTGATAGGATGAAACTAAAGTTGAGCCATTCTTCTGTGTTTTGTTTTGTTTTGTTTTTTCATACAGAGTCTCACTCTGTCGCCCAGGCTGGAATGTAGTGGTGTGATCTTGGCTCACTGCAATCTCCACCTCCCAGGTTCAAGTGATTCTTGTGCCTCAGTCTACTGAGTAGCTGGGATTTACAGGCACCCGGCACCACGCCCTGCTTTTTTTCTTTTTTTTTTTAGAAGACAGAGATTTTGCCATTGGCCAGGGTGGTATCCCACTCCTGACCTCAGGTAATCTGCCTGCCTCAGCCTCCCAAAGTGCTAGGATTATAGGCATGAGCCACTGCGCCCAGCTTTTTTCTTTCTTTTTTTTTTTTTTTTTTTCTTTTTGACATGGTCTCATTCTGTTGCTCAGGCTAGATGGAGTACAGTGGTGCCATCATGGCTCACTGCAGCCTCCACCTCCCAGGCTCAAGAGATCCTTTGACCTCAGCCTCTTAGGTAGCTGCGACGACATGTGTGCACCAGCACAAGTGGCTCATTTTTTGTAGAGACTAGGGTCTCCCTATATTGCCCAACTAGGTCCAGAATTCCCGGGCTTAAGTAATTCACCGGCCTTGGCCTCCCAAAATGCTATGATTACAGGTCTTATGTTCTTAAAATTTTTCTTTGACATGGTATAGGATAGTCTAGTAACTTGACATATTGTTGTTTTCAACAGGCTAGTGCTTATGATTTGTAAAATAACTCTTCAGAAATGAGCTCAATTTTACCATGATTGGGACACTTTCCATTTCTTTCCATTCTATAGAGCAGTTTACTTGTCATGAGTTTTGTCTTTCGAAAACCTGAAAGCCTGCAACAATCTAAACAGCTGCACCTGGTGCATGGGATAGGCATGGAATTGAGGAGAGAGCTCAAACTACAGTCAGCCCTCTGTATCCTCAGGTTCTGGATCCCTGGATTTTACCAACTGTGCATCAAAAATATTTGGAAAAAGTAAAACAATAAAAACAAACATTTATAAATACTTCATAACAGGTATTTACAAAGCATTTATGTTGTATTAGGTTTTATAGTAATCTAGAGATGATTTAAAATCTACAGACAGATGTGTATAGGTTATTTGCAAATACTATGCCATATTATCTCAGGGACTTGAGCATCGGTGAATTTTGGTATCTCTGGAGTCTTGGAACCGATATCCTGAGGTTACTAAGGGATGACTCTATTCAATTTCTTCTCTGGTTATTAGTCTATTCTCTAATGTATTTTTGTTGTTGTTTTGTCTTTTTGTTTTTGCCTCTTCAAGTCAATGTCAGAAACTTAGTTGTTCTACACTACCCATTAGCTCAAAGCTACCAGTAAGCTGACTACCACTGCAATCTAAGCAACCGATTTTTTCCCCATCAGATTGGCAATAATTAAGAATCTATTGATGTTGAAACTTTAGGGAGTTTTCCTGAGCATGTTAATTATGACAGCCCTTTTTGTTAGGCACCTAGACGATTCATCAAAATGAAATAAAATACCCATGCACTTGAAGAAGTTATCTGGTTATTTCGTTATGTGGGTGCTGGTTATGTGAAGTTTACAGTTGATGAAAACTTATTAAGCTTTGTATTTATAATAGGTACAATGTCCTGTATGTGTAGTAGATTTCAATAGTTTTAAAAATGTCTTTTGCCACAGCCCGCAGCTGTGTATAATGTTAATCGCTTAACAGCGGAAAACATGGCAATGACCTGAATCTCCCCGGCTCCCAGGATCCTGCCCACTTAAGTTAAACAAATAAAATAACTCCCACTGTCAGTTAAACTGGCGGTGGGCGCTGGTTTTTTTCCAGGGAAGGATTCTGGGAGACCAGGAGGAGGCGCCAGCTTTTCGCCCGGCACCTCCAGTGGGCTGCGGTCCCCTCTCAGCCTCACTGGAGCAGCCCCCGCCCTCCCAGAGTCCGTTAGTCCAAGTCACGTCATCGTGGAATCAGCTGACCCCACGCGACTGGAAAAAGAAATTCCGGGACCTGGCTTCCAGGCGCGCTGATGAGGCACCAGGGGTGAAGCAAGGCATGGGCTGCTGGAGCGGGAATTCGGGGCGCCAGTGGCTCTGGAAACGGGGGGAGGTTGTCTGCCCTGGCCTCTCCGCAAACACAGTGTGTGCGAGCGTGGGGGCTGTGGGCGTGGTAGAGAGAAGTCCACCGCCATCTGGCTCCCGAGAAGGGGGCGGGGGCGTGGGGGGCGGGTAAGACAGAGCAGGCCGGCCAGCTCAGAGTCCCGGTGCTTCCCTGGCTGAAGCACCATCCATCCATCCTTCCATCCATCCCTGCGTTCCAAGCACCTAGTCTCTACCATGAAGTGTGCTAGGCGCTGGGAGGACTTGAGCTGCCGAGGGAAGGGGAAATCGGAGGCTTGAATTGGCAGTCATAGTTAAGGCTCCAGGGGCGGAGACCTAACTGCGCCTTTTGTGTACCTTAAAGGCGGATGGCAGGAGCTGGCTGGCCTAAATACAGTTTGTGTACCAGGGTTGGGAGGCAAGCGTGGGAGGCGTGTGTCTTCAGACAGGGAACAGCACGTGCAGAGACCAAGTTAGAGAGAGCATGGCTCCCCAGGAATGAATGCATTTCCCATAGCTGGGAGAGTACCATCTGGAGGTTAGGGAAAGATGAGGTTGCATAAGTAAAGATCAAATCTTCCTGGCTCTTGGATCACCACAATCAAGATAATGAACATATCCACCCGCCCCCAAAATTTCCTTGTGTGAGGGGCTATTTTAGGAAGTATGATCAAGAAGAGCCGGCCTGGCGGGGTGCAGTGGCTCACGCCTGTAATCCCAGCACTTCGGGAGGCTAAGGTGTGTGGATGACCTGAGGTCAGGAGTTCGAGATCAGCATGGCCAACGTGGTGAAACCCTGTCTCTACTAAAAATACAAAAAAACCGGGTGTGATGGTGTGTGCCTGTAGTCCCAGCTACTTGGGAGGCTGAGGCAGGAGAATTGCTTGAACCCGGGAGGCAGATGTTGCAGTGAGTCAAGATTGTGCCATTGCACTCCAGCCTGGGAAACAGAGCAGGACTCCGTCTTAAGAAAAAAAAAAAAAAAAAAAAAAAAAAAGGGCTGGTCTGATGAGGGGTCACTTGAGCAGAGAGTGGAATGAAATAAAGGATAGCAAGCCACACAGTGCGCAGCAGGAAAGGATGGTGGGAGCAAAACTGGTGTCCCTGAGCAGCAGCAGGGAAGCCAGAGCGGCTGGACTTGTGTGAGTATGGGGAAGAGGGGAGAGAGGTCACTCCTCTCTGTGAGGCACAGGACTTTGTTTTATTCCCTGCTGTATCCAAGTGCTTAGAGTGGGAAGTAGCACAGAGAAGTCGCTCAATTGATGTTTGCTGAGCAGACGAATGCCTGGAGTAGACCTCAGAGCAGGGTTTGGTGGCAGGGTGGGTCCGGGAGAGAGTTCACTCCACACCCTGGTGATAGGGGAGAACAAGAGGCCAGAGGGTATCCATCTATGATGGGGACCAGGGGTCCCTGCTGGGCAGCAGTATGGGAGACACACGGATACGGGCCACACCTCAGCCCTCCCTCCAGCCTGATTACCTGCCTCCCTCCCTTGCAGAGGTTCCAGTTCTGTGGTGATCTGGACTGTCCCGACTGGGTCCTGGCAGAGAGCAGCAGCTGGCTAAGATGGTTGAGTGCACAGGGTCTAGTCTGGGTGGAGGAGGGGCGCTGGGCTGGGGATTTTGGGTGTAGATGATGGTGAGGTTTCTCTAAGGTTAGGGCCTCAGTGCTCTCAGCCTGTGCTACCATGCTTTGTGACCGTGATCAGCGGCTGGCCTGCTCTGAGCCAGTCCCCAGGAAGGAGGGGTGAGGTTCGCCAGCCTGGCTGCTGTAAGGACTTCCCTTCCAGTCCTCTGTGAAGTTGCAGCTGCTCTGCAGCCAGGTACTAAAGAGCTTCTGGGACAGGGGATTGATGTGAGTACAAGACCCGGCACCCCATTGTCTCATGCCCTTGTGACCCCCAGTTCCCTGAAGCTCTGCACTAGGCCCGGGGAGATGGGTGACCCAGCTTTGAAACCTCTCTGGGCGCCTCCCATACTTCTTTCCAGCCTGTCTGTTCCTTATTGCAGGATCCATGCTAGTGGTGAGGGGCTGGTGAATAGGGTACTGGCACCCTCTGAAGGTCTCCTTTCCCCATAGTATGAGCAGATCCTGAAGCTCACAGCTGATGTCAAGTTTGGTGAGTACCCCGCTGAGTCCACAGGCCCCAGGCAACCCTGGGACTTCAGCCTGGTGCCTGGTACAGAGGGGCCCTCACCCCTCCCTGCAGCATCCTTAACTTACCGTCCCTAGTGGAGGAGCATGAGGGAAAGAAAGACATTGACAGTCCCACCTTCCTGTCCTCTGCCAGCTTCTGGTGGAGCAGGAGCAGTGCCTGTGGCTTCAGGAGGCCTGGGAGCTTTGAGCTGAAGTTAATAGGGCAACTGGGAGGTGGCTGGGGCCACAGTGACACCCCCTGTCCCACTCACGTGTCCATCAGAGTCAGGCGATGTGAAGGCCACAGTAGCAGTGCTGAGTTTCATCCTCTCCAGTGCGGCCAAGCACAGTGTCGATGGCGGATCCTTGGCCAGTGAACTGCAGCAGCTGGGGCTGCCCAAAGGTATGGGTTGTGGGTGGGCAGCTGGGCAGCCTTTGTGGGCCAAGGGCTGCTGCCAAGGCCCTGTGACCCTGAGGCGTACTCTGCCTTGTCTGGGCCAGGAACCCAAGCCCAACCCCGACCTGCTACCTCTAGAGCTACTCCATTCTACCCCCAGAGCACACGGCCGGCTTGTGCCGCTGTTATGAGGAGAAGCAAAGCCCCTTGCAGAAGCACTTGTGGATCTGCAGCCTACGCAGCAAGTATGAGGCCAGCCAGGGTCCAGGCTCCTTCTAGAAGGTGCATGCAGCACGCAAAGTGCATGGAGAGTCCAGCGGGATGACTTAACCATGGTCACATACCAAGCAGTTGCAGAGCTGGGACCTGGCCCTGGCTCTCCTGACTCTGCGGGCTGTGTGATGTGTACATACAAGATCAGATCTTGCCCTTTCCTCCTGGCTGACCCTTCCCTAGTCCCCTGTGCCCCATGTGTGAGCACCCAGCTCTCTCTTATTCCTCTCTCTCTGAAGCGTGGTCCCTGGGAGCATGAGTGACAGAAGGGGCAGCAGAGACTGTGGAACCCTCAGCTGCACCTAAGACCTCTGTGTGGTCTAGCTGTGTGTGCTGGGGGAGGCTTTTGGCCACCATTTCCCCCTCTGTAATTGAGACCGATACCTGTGGCATGGAGGGCGGGAGGCCGGTGTGAGTGCCAAGCACTTGGAGCAGTGCCCTGAGTGAACATGGACGTGGAAATGGGTGTTCCTTGACTTTATGCACCTTGGGTACAGGAGTGGGGCTCCCTGCCTGGGTTGACAATTCATTGCTTTCCCCCACTCCACCTCTTTCCCAGCCCTACAAGTCCAGTCCTTGGGGGAGGGAAAAAGCCCCTGGCTGTGTGACCTTGGGCTGCTGCCTGGCTCTCTCTGACTCTGAGTTCCTGGGAACATCAGCACCCAAGGCATGCCCTCAAGTTTAGTGCCTTGACAAGAAGGGTGGAGACACTGGGATCAGGCCCAACCCTTTGGCCCCAAACACTGTGGTCCCAGCTGGAGGATGAGGAGGTGCTGGGCTTGGATGGGGGAATCAGGGGTATAAAGGGACCTGCTCACCCCTCAGCTTGGCTCAAAGGCTCAAGGCGTCAATGGTTGAGCCTGCCCCTCAGGAAGCAGCCCGGGCCCAGCCAGACACTCACCAGGACGAGGGCAACTCTGATGCGCAGGAGGCCCAGGATGAGGAGAGCCACGGCATAGCTGGAGATGAAGACGTCCAGCGGGCTGGAGGCTTTGGGGCCAGGAGTGCCTAGAGCAGAGCTAGAAGGCTATGACCAGGTGGGGCCCTGCCTCCCAGACTTCTGAGAAGGCAGACTCTGGGCCCAGAAGGTGCTATGGGACCAGAGATCTGGGGCCAGGAACATCTTGGAGGGCTCCATGATGAGGGGAGGCAGGCTTCAGATCAGGGCATGTGGAGTAGGCAGATGGACAGAGGGAGAGGGCCTGCAGAGGGAAGGAGGTACTGACTGAGGTCTGGGATGACGGGTGTGCAGACGCTGGTGCAAACAGTCCCAGGAAGCTTTTACTCCTGGCGGGAGGCAAAGACGGAGCAGACCTGTCGCATGGTGAGAGAGGAAGAAAGAGAGAGGAGGCATCAGGCTCTTTTTAACAACCAGCTCTCCTGTGAACTGATAGAAAATTCACTCCTTGAATCACATTAAGCTGGGAGTTGGAGGGTGCAGTGAGCTGAGATCGCACCACTGCACTCCAGCCTGGGCTGTGAGTGAACTCTCTCAAAAAAAAGAAAAAGAAAGAAAAAGAAAAAAGAAAACTCACTCATTACCATGGGGAGGGCACTAAGCCATTCAAGAGGGCTCTCCCACCATGACCCAAACACCTCACACTATAGGCCCCACCTCCAGCATTGGGGATCACATTTCAACACCAGATGTGGATGGGACAAGTATCCAAACTATGTCAGAGGCCTCCACCTCCCTCTCATCAGAGTCTTCTGTCCTCAGTTCAGGTGCATGCTGGCCTCCATGCCTGGCTTCCTAGGAAATCATCTTGGCCCCAAGGGGTTGGGTAGGGCCACTAGGCTGAGGGTGGGAGCCCTACCTCTCCTAGTCCCAGCCTGGGTCTCCATCACTGGCTAGCCCACTCTGCTTGCTGCGTTCTCTCCACACCTGTTCCCTGCAGCCCAGGGGTCAGTCTGGGTGCAGGCCTGGGTAGAGGTTCAGAAGCAGATTCTGTACCCCTGGAGCTCATAACTCCTGTGCACCATGGCAGCCAAAATGCACCAGCATGGCCAGGAGCGCTGGCTTGTCCCTGTAATCCCAGTGTTTTGGGAGGGTGAGGTGGAAAGCTCTTGAGACGAGCCTGGGCAACATAGCCAGACCCTGTCTCTACAAAAAATAAAACTAGGCATGGTGGCATGCACCTGTGGTCCCAGCTACTCAGGAGGCTGAGGTGGGAAGATCACATGAACCCAGGAGGTAAAGGCTGCAGTGAGCTATGATTGCACCACCGCACTCCAGCCTGGGCAACGGAGCAAGACCCTGTCTCTAAAACAAGAAACAAAGTGCACCAATGTGTGGATACCAGCTTCTCCTGGTGTGTGGACCTGACCATACTTGGCCCCATCGGTGAGTAAGAGGCTGCCTGCTGACTTCCAGAACATTCTCACCACTACACCTGTGTCCCTCCTGCACACTCTGGCAGGCTTTGTGAGTGGGCCTGTCAGCTACCTCTCTGGCTGCCCTAAGGCCCAGCTCAAACCTTCCGTGCCCCTGAGAACCTTTTCCTGAAGAGTCTTTCCCCCAGCCACAGGCCCCCTCATTTCAGAGCTTTTGGTGGGGTGAGTACAAGGATTGACTCTCTGCTACCAGCCTGGGAGGAATTGTCCCTAGGGTTGGGTCTCTGGATGGCATATGAGGGTCTAGACCAGGACCCAGATGCCTGTAACCTGAAGGGCTGGCCCTCAGTTGCCCCAGCTTCACAGAGCCCCTCATCCAGCCTCAACTTCCGGGACAGGCCCGACCCCTACATCCTTTGGTCTTGGTCCCTACTGGGAACTCTGCTTACCCTGGCTTACCTACTTTGACTCCAGAGGTAATGCTGACATCCCCCATGAGACACAGTGACAGATTGCTTACCTGGCTCAGAGTCACCATGGCCAGGCAGAGCTCAGGTCCTGGCCCTGTTCAACCTCTGCCTGCTGTGTTCAAGTGATTCTCCTGTCTCAGCCTTCCGAGTAGCTGGGAGTACAGGTGCATGCCACCAGGCCCAGCTAATTTTTTGTAGTTTTAGTAGAGATGGGGTTTCACCATGTTACCCAGGATGGTCTTGATCTCCTGACCTCGTGATCTGCCCACCTCAGCCTTTCAAAGTCGTGAGATTACAGGCCTGAGCCACCACGCCCAGCCTCCCTAAAACCCTTCTAGCTCTGGTGCCCTGCAGGGTCTACTTTGGAGCTCCTGGAGCCCAAGAAGCTGCCCCTCACCTTTGTGATTCCAGGGACCCACACCCGGATCATGATGAAGGTGGACCCAAACCCGCTGAGGTGCCTGAAGGAGCAGGGTCAGCCTCTGCCTCCCACGGCCTCTCTGATGGGGAGGATGTTATCCCAGCAGGGAGAGCTGGGAGCAGAATCAGGAGGATGGGGGATTTCTCTGTGGGTAGCTCTGGGCTCCAGGGTGGAGCTCTTTTAACATGGTCCCTCCCCTGTGACTCTCCTTGGCCCCAGGCAAAGAAAGCAGCTTGCTGGAGGTCACCTGTCAGGTAGGGACAGAGAGGGATCTGGGTTCTTTCTCATCCAGCTGCAGCTCCCCCTCCCCCTGGCCCCTTCCCCCAGGTGATAGAGAACCTGGCAGGCTGTGCCCCATAGAAGAGTCCCCTTTCCTTCTGGTGAGGGATGGAAACCAGCTTGGGGTGGGAGGGATGAGGTGTTGGGGCTCTCCCATCCCTGCCTCACATTTGAAGGATGGCATCTGAGTGGCAGCATGGTTTAGGCTCGACAAGGTGGCCCCTAGGTTTATAGTCTGGCCTCGGGCAGGATGCTGCCATGCCACCTTCTCTTCTGCACATCCTCACCTGGCACCCTATTTAGTCAAATGTCCTCAGGCCTCCTGCACCTTGGGCATTGCCCCCACTCCCTGCACAGGCACAGCTCTCCTTGTCCTGGACTAATCTTCAGAGATTCTTGTTCAGCCCACAGCCTTGCTGGACATCGCAGGCTGGGCCAGGCCCCCTGCCCAGCACTAACATCTCTTTGTGAGTCTCAACCATACTGAGCCGCAGCTTCAGGGTCAGGGTAGGTGCTGACTTAATTGATGTGACCCAGGGCAAGGGGGTTTATTGACGGTGTCACACCTGCTTATGTTCTTGGTCTCTGTGGTTTCTTTGGGGGCAAGATACTCCTCTGTCCCATGCTTAGGCACCCACATGTGGCCACAGTGCCTTTCCTACCACCATCCCTACTGCAGGCCAGTGTCCAGGCACCTGTGGCTCCAGGCAGAAGGCTGAGTGCAGAGCCAGGCCTGGGTGGACATTCTGCAGGGGCTGCAGGAGCTGACAGCCCTGACCACCCAGCCCGTGGCCATCCAGTCCCCTTCACCGTGGCTGACCCTTCATCCACCATCCTTCCAGGGACTAGGCCTGGGGCCAAACTGACTTTTGCCTGCCCCTGGTTCCCCTTGTGCCTGCCAAGGTCTTGACTAGGCATGATGTTCTTGTCCATTTCCTTGATTATCCTCAATCAGAGGTTTATAGAGCCACTTGGGGACATCACATCTCCTGTCTACCAGGTCCTCACAAGAGACAGGACTGCCTTGGGCCGGGCCTGGGATACTCAGGGGTCACACTAACCTGTTGGGACCTAGCTTCAGTGGCTTCAATCTGGGCAATGGCCTGATGGGCAGCTGCCCCTTCTCTGCTTGGGGAGGCAGGAGAGGAAGGTCAGGCAGGAGATCTGCTTCCTGCCCACCTGAGGCTGGTTGGAAGCAGGGCGCCCACCTGTGCCTGTCACACCTTGCTGCAGGTGCATCGGAGGATGAATCCCTCTCCTGATCTCCTGCAGGTGCGGATTCCAGGTTTACAGTAGGTTTAGGAGTGGGCTCCAGTGCTCTCCTGACCCTAGGAAACCCTGGGCTCCATGAGGCCTTGGCCTAGCCAGATTGTTTCCCACACTGTCACCTCCCCACACTGTCACTTCCGCAAACATGGGGCTGCACGCTCTGTGCCCTGGGTGGGACATTGGAAGGAGTTCTACCTTCCAGGTTTGGATCACAGTAAAGCCTCTGCCATGGAGATGTGCTGGCTGAGACAGACGGGGTTGAACCAGACCTGTCACGTTGGCCTTGGGCAACTCACCTGTGCCTTGCTTCCCTTTCCCCAGCAGCTGGACAGGGATAATAGCACCTATTTCACCCGTACTCAGGTGCTCACTTGTTAGCAGGAACTGAGTCCTGGAGAAGGTGTAGGGGGAGCCATCGAGGCAGCACTGCAGCTGGTCCTGGTCTGAGTCCCTGCTCCTGGCTGTGAGATGTGTCTCTCCCTCTGTTTATTCATCTGAAGGATAGGGCTGTGCTCTTCTGGGGTCACTGTGACAATGCAGCTCACCTGTGTGAGTTGGTGGTGGCCTCCTGAGATGGTTTGAGGTGGACTGGAGGTGTGTCTTGAATACCGCCTCACCCCCTTGAGGAAGACCCACTTAGGGAAGACTCACCTGTCTGTGTGAAGGAAACCAGGATCCCTGCCCTTCAGCTGTCCTCTGTCCCTTCCCAGCCCCCTCTGCTGTCATGCAGTCTCTGGCGGTGGCCATCCAGCTTGGTGGCTGTCTGGCTGGTCCACACTTCCAGGTGGACCCTCTCTCCTCACATGGTTCATGTGTCATTGTGTCATCTCCAGACAGGCCACGCTAGCCCCAGGGCCTCCCTTCCCTGGTACCCAGCCCCCACCACTAGGTATGTGCCCCCTCTCTAAAGCCCGCTGTATTCACCAACTGTATTTGAACTCTGTCTCTGTGCAAGTCCTCATGCAAAGCCTGAAACAGCCTGGCTTGTAGAGGTCCAGGAGACCAAAGCTTGAAGACAGAGTGATGGTCTCCCAGAGTCCACTTAGCCTCAGCCCTAGGGCTGTGTCCATGCTGTTCCTGGCTCCAGTGATCCAGTTCTGTCCCGTGACTCCTGTAAGGGCTCCTGTGGTGATGGAGGTGGCTGGAGAGAACATGTTGCCGTAACCCTCCCTCCCTGAGAAGGCCCAATGGGGAATGTTTTAGGCATCAGGGCATCCTGGGGAGCATCTTCCAGGGACCCCTCCTACACCGTGCCCCGCCCTGGCTCTCTAGTCAGAAATTGCAGTTGCTTGGACAGCGGGGCTGACCCAGGACAAGTGCATCTATTAGGCTGGTCTTCGGGGTGCTGGGATGGGGGCAGGGGCGGTTCAGGGATATGAAGGAGAGGCCTGTGTGTTCCAGAAGTACAGAGGAACCTGGTGCTGGCTGCAGTCAACCCCGATGTGATGACCTTTCTACCTGCCCTCTCTGATGTCTTGGTGCTGGCTGCTGTCTTTGGCCAGGTAAGCTCATGGTCTGGGCTCCTGGGATCCCCTCACTGGGCCTGCCCACTGCCTGCAGGTAGGGGAGCCTATGGGCCAGGACTGTCCTTGGCTTCCCCTTCCAGACCATGGTTCAAAGACCATTCCTGGGTTCCACCACCACCAAGCCTCAATGGTGTCCTGATGGGCACAGGAGCTGCTGGGGCTTTCTAGGTTAAGACCCTTGCCTATCCCGGCATTCCACCCCAGCAGTAGGGGGGCTGCAGGGGTCAGCCTCAGTCTCTGCCCTGGGAACCTGCCTTACCTTGCCCGGGCATCCCCACACCTCCCCTAGAAGACCCCCCATACCCAGTGGCTCTGATCCACTGTAGAGTAGTCAGGGCCCCCATTGCTCACACCGTCTTGACTGAGGCTGACTGGCATTGTGGCTGGGTTTGGGGGTCAGGGTTGGGGGTGGGCCTTGCCCTCAGCAGCCCCCATTCCCACTCTGACCCCTTTTCAATCTTCCTCCTCTTGTGGGCTCTATCCTTGGACCCTCCCAGCTCCTGACACCGGATGACTTTCTAAATATCCAGAAATCACTTTTTAAAATACCAGCTTCGGGGCTAGGAGTGCCTAGAGCAGACCAAGAAGGCTATGACCAGGCAGGGGTTCTGCCTCCCAGACTTCTGAGAAGGCAGAATCTGGGCCCAGAAGTTGCTGTGGGACCAGAGAGCTGGGGCTAGAAGCATCTGGGTAGGCTCCGTGAAGAGAGGAGGCAGGTTTCAGATCAGGGCATGCAGAGGCAGTGAGCCCGAGGGAGGAGGCAGGTGGACAGATGGAGGGGGCCTACAGAAGGAAGGAGGTACTGACTGAGGTCTCGGATGACCATCTCTACCAAGAGGCCCTCTGCCTCTCCCAGGATGTGCAGACCCTGGCGCACACAGTCCCACATGAGATCCTGGGCTGGCACCGCCCTGAAGAAGGTGGCACCCACTCTCTGGACCAGTGGATCCAGCCTGGTGGGAGGATCATCCCACTTCAGGGGACTGGGCAGCCTGAGGGGCCTAAGGGAGGTCATCTCTTCCAGCCTCCTGCCCTCAACCCCAGAACCCAGGTCTGAGCCCTGGGCCACCTAGGGCCACCCTGGACCCACCAGAATTCCTCCACCACCACTTGGTCAAAGTTTTGTAGAGGCCTGAGGACAAGGGTCAGCTGGGGGATCAGGAGAGGATTAAGAGGGTCACAGCTCTACCAAAGTCTTGTCCAGTCATCCCTCATCTTCCCGACGCCTCTTCCCCCACCACCCTACTTCATTCCACCACTTCACCCATCTCATCAGCTGCCCCTGAAGTGCCCAGAAGTCAGGGCTGGTTTTGTCCTCCAAGGCCTTGGTGTAGTGCTGGCCCAGGATCTGCAGCCAAACTTCATTCAGCACAAGCTCCGCCTTCTCCCCTAGAGAGATGGGGTGGAGGTGGCATCAGCCTGCACTCCCTCTCCTGGAAGCCCTGGGGTGGGGCACACACCCAAGCTCTAATGCGCCATCCGGGGGTCAGCCGCCGCTGGTCTAAAAACGAGATTTCTTGCTGCCTGTTTTTGTGTGACCCATGAGCTAAGAATGGCTTTTACATGTTTAAATGGTTGAAAACATGGAAAGTAGAATCTTATCTTGTGACACATGAGAAGTACATGACATGCAAACTTCCATGTCCTTAAAGAAAGGTTTCTGGGAATGTGGCCATGCTCATTTGTTGACATGTTGTCTAGGGCTGCTTTCTTGCTACAGGGGAGGGTTTGAGTATGTGGTGATGGAGACACTGTGGCCTGCAGAACCTTAAAGAGTTTCCATCTGGCCCTTTACAGAAAATGCTTGCTACCCCCTGCACTGATCCATCTAATGGAATATGCTGCTCACTCTGAGAATTGATCCTAGTAGGAAATGTTGCTGACAATTTAACAGATGCTGCTTTTGTGTTTCATTTTGTCGCTTCTCTGATGGGAGACATGTAAGAAAATTTACCCCTGGGAGGAGGTCATGGTGGGGTTTGTGGCCATCAATGGTGAAGCCTCTTTAAGGCGATGTGTGGGGAGCTCTACCCTCTGCTGAGGGGGTTGTGATGGGCCCTCTGTGTTGAGGAATGAAGAGGGAACACAGCCTGTTGGCTGGGAACTGGCTTCTGGGGAGCAGAAGAGATGGTAGTTTGGGCCTGTGGAGGCAGAGGCCCAAACCAATCTGGTCTCTGGGGCGGCCGGCAGGGAGAGTAGCTGTGTAGGAGTGGGTGCGAGGGCAGAGCCCGAAGGAGGGCACCCTGACTGCACCCTCAGGAGGCTGCGGTGGTGGGGGTGGGGCAGCACTGTAGGAGGACCAGTGCTTTCTGTGGCTGAGGGGTCCTTGGAGAGCAGCTCCGGGCTGTGTGTACCTGGAGGGGACTGATTTCACCCAGCGTTCTCTCAACCTGGGTGTGGAACAGCTCTCCTGGTTAGGATGGCACGAGCTTGCAGAAGTCATCCTATCAGGAGGCCCCAAGAGGAGATATGGGTTTCTTGCAGCCCCTGCACTGGGGCAGAGCTGAGGGGTTTTGCCTCTGACTTGGTGGGACAGATCTTGTCATGCATGTGAGAACTCAGTGAGGTCCTGGGCAATCAGGGAGGTGACGGGACCCTCTCATCCCTCTGATCTTGACTGCTTCTCACCTATGTCCAGCTCCTTGCTGAAACTCTATGCCCCATTCCTCTCTGTGGCTCCAACACATGAGCAAGTATTGTCTGAAGAAAACTCTGCCCATTCTCTAGAAGGGGAACACCGAGGTTTAGAGAGGGGAAGAGCCTGATGGCCCAGAGACACACAGGGATCACAGCCCTACTAAAAACACAGAAATTAGCCGGTGTAGTGGCACATGCCTGTAATTCCAGCTACTAGGGGGGCTGAGGCACAGTAATTACTTGAACCCAGGAGGCAGAGTTTGCATGAACCATGATCTCACCACTGCACTCCAGCCTGTGCAACAGAGCGTGACCCTGTCACAAAAAAAGAGTTAAAACCCATTTGTCCAGTATACACTTTTTCAAAATATATACTCAAACGTAGAAAAGTCTAGAAATGTCACCAATGGTAATTTCAGGAAAGAATTCTAAGGTGACTTGTTTTGCTTCTCTGCATTTTTTTTTCTTGTATTTTTTGGACATAGGGTCTCGCTCTGTCACCCAGGCTGGAGTGCAGTGACCCGATCAGGGATCACTGCAGCCTTGACCTCACAGGCTTAAGCCATCCTCCCACCTCAGTCTCCTGAGCAGCTGGGATTACAGGCACATGCCACCACACCTGGCTAATTTTTGGATTCTTGTATTTTTTGCAGAGATGGGGTTTTGCCATGTTACTCAAGCTGGTCTTAAGTGATTCACCCACCTCAGCCTCCCAGAGTGCTGGGATTACAAGTGTGAGCCATGTGTGCCAGGCCTATTTTCTATAATGACCATGACCATGGATTCCATGTGCCAATATTTTTCTAACTATAATATTTACAAAGCATACTATGAAAAATATTCAGAGAAAAAGAAGAATACAAAATTGTAAAAATCATATATAAATAGTTTTTTTTTTTTTTTTTTTAAAGGAAGAAAGAAACAAAGTAGATTGTCCAGGAAGATAATTACTTCTACTTTGTATTTCTCTGGTGAACTCATTAGGAACTCTAAAAAGTTCCAGGAGTAGAATCATGGGGTCAGAGTACCCCGGCTTTAACTTCTGGTTCAGAGAATCCTAACAACTTACATTGTCACCAGCAAGTTCTTTGACTACCTGAGCAAATCTCACCTTAAATCAATTCTCACCTGACATTAGCTGCTCAGCTTTCCGCTGATACGTTGATTCCAGGAGACTCCTTGAGTTCTGTGTGTTCAGCTGGCCTCCGGTGGCCCCATTATTATTTTCTGCCAGGTAAAGGTCAGTCACCTGCACACAGATCTCATCATTCATGATATGCTGCAGCTGGAATCAAACAAAGGCAAGCGGTTAGTGAACACAGAAAGCATTTCCATTATACAGCAACTCAAAAAAGGTTTTGATTTCTTTTGCTAGCAATTTTAGAAAATTAATCATACAAACCACTGTATGATTCTCTTGGAGAATAATCAAGCCAAGATTTTCAACCATCTCAGTGGTCCATTGAAAAATTTTCATATCTATTTAAAATCAAAACCAGAGGGAATTCAAGTTAATGTACTTCTTGTTGTTGTTGTTGTTGTTGTTGTTGTTTTGAGACAGAGTCTCGCTCTGTCACCAGGCTGAAGTGCAGTGGCTTGATCTCGGCTCACCGCAACCTCTGAATCCTTGGTTCAAGCGATTCTCCTGCTTCAGCCTCCTGAGTAGCTGGAATTACAGGCACACGCCACCACCCCCAGTGAATAATTTGTATTTTTAGTAGAGACGGGGTTTCACAGTGCTTGCCAGGATGGTCTTGATCTCCTGACCTTGTGATCTGCCCGCCTCAGCCTCCCAAAGTGCTGGGATTACAGGTGTGAGCCACAGAGCCTGGCCTAATGTACTGTTTATTTAAAATTCTAAGGATCTTTAAATAATTTTCCATGGATTATATTTTTATTACATTTTAAAATCATTTATAATTTGCTTTCACACATATTCTCCCTCATTTGATCCTCACAACTGCCCTGGGAATCAGATTGGAGACAGAGTAGGGGCCTGTTAGGAGACAGATTTACACAATGCATAAGAAAGCTCACTGTGAGCCGGGTGAGGAAGGGAGCCTTGGAGAATCATGAATGCAGTATCTCTGTCTATATTCCCAGCCCAACTACAAAGCCTGAAATTCATAGCTATTTAAGAAATAGCTGCTGAATTATTGCCTAGCGGTGTTCAGTTGAAGAAGCACAATTGGGACTAACGTCAAGCTTCCTGACTCCTAGCCCAATACTTTTACAAACACGCCACCTATTTTTCTATATCTGATAGAAAGTATAGTGCTTAAGTTGTATATAATGTTAATTCACTTTCAATACAGGTCACTCATGATTAACTGTCAGTAGCTTTTGTGACAAACTTAGTAAACTAGAAAGTTGAAGCTTTCAGAGTTCCCATTCTCATGTCATATGCTGTTTCTGTTTTAAAATAAAAATCCTTCCACATGAAACTTTCTCCATCAAAATGACAGAGAGATGAAAATAGATACAAGAAGAAAGCAAAACGTTAATTTCAACATCGATTTGTCTATTTTGCTTTAAAAGTATAACCACCAAGCCATTTTTAGGAAGATACATTCTTTTTGAAGTGTTAGAAACCATAATAACTATTCTTAACTTTAAGTCCTAAATGACCAGTATGTGTGTTAGTAGATAACTGGACACAGTGTGAAGTCAGAAGGGTGACTGAGTGTGGCAGAAAGGGCAGTATGTCCAGCAACTGCAGATGGATAAATGACAATGAGTCCAGATAATGGATTCTGATATAACCATTCAAATAATGCTCATGAGTACTTGATAACATAGGGAGAAGCTTAAGATACAGTGTTTTAGAAAAAAAGGAAAGGTGAAAAAAATAGATGGAAAGCATGATTTCAATCTTGCATACAGATGCTTCCACTTTATCCTTTTTGTTTGTTTGTTTGTCTGTTTGCTTTTGAGACAGGGTCTCACTCTGTTGACCAGGCTGGAGTACAGTGGCATCATGATCTCAGCTCACTGCGGCCTCTATTTCCTGGGCTCAAGCAATGCTCCCACCCCGGCCTCCTAAGTACCTAGGACTACAGGTATGTGCCAAAATACCCAGCTAACTTTTTGTATTATTAGTAGAGATGGGGTTTTCCCATGTTGCCCAGTCTGGTCTCAAACTCCTGAGCTCAAGTGATCTATCTGCTTCGCCCTCCTAAAGTGCTGGGATTATAGGCATGAGCCACCACCTCTACTTTCTACTTTCTTGTTGAAGTAGACTGTATTACTGATTCCCCACCCGCACCCTCTTTTTGGATATCTGGCCCCTCCTGGAGTCTCTGGAAAGGGCAGCACTACAAATCCAGGGACAACTAGGAAACTCCCACCCTCACTGCTAGGCAGATCAGATTCTCTCTCCTGCTCATTGGAAATGACACAGAGAGTTTTCAATAGATTTTTTGCAGAGGAAAATCTGTATGGAAAGGTCCAGTAATACTGGGACCAGGGGTACTGCCAGGGCAAGCCAAAGCCTCAGAGGCTGGAGGAGCCTGGAGCACATGCCGAATGTTCATCTGCAGAGCAGAGCACAAGCATGGAGCAGAAGTCCAGAGTGAAGGCATGCAGGAGAGGAAAATCACCTCCCAGCCCAGGCAGGCCTTCCATGGTGTGGTCATATTTTGAGTTTTGTACTTAGATATCTGTGAGGTAGCCTGTTGTATTCTTAATACAAATCCCCCTTAAGCCAGCCTAGAATAGGTCAAGATAAAATGTAATGACTTGACTTGGCTGGAGTGCAGTGGCGTGATCACGGCTCACTGTAGCCTCAACTTCCTGGGCTCAGGTGATCCACTTCTGCCTCCCGAGTAGCTGGGACTACAGGTATGAGCCAACTGGCCCAGTTAATTTTTTGTATTTTTCTCATGAAAATATTTTTCAGAAGAAATCTATATACATTGAATATCACTGACTGCTTTTTCTTCATCTTCTGTGAATGTGTAGGTGTTTGAGTCTCTTGTATTTCTTTTACACAAGATATGGGCTGTTTGAAAACTATTTCATTATCTTCACCATCATCATTCATTTCAGCCACTTCAGATTTGCATTTCTTTAAAAATGTTGATGTACAAACCAATGTGGGGCCGTAGATATCCACTGTCTTCTCAGGAGTGTCCGAAGTGCCTAAAACCTTTTTCTTCTTCTTACATAAAACCTGGGCTTTTTTAGACATCTGACAATTCATTTTTGAAATACTTTCCATTTTCTGTAAAATCAAAGAAGGAAAATCATAATCAATTCCTTTTTAAGCTAATTTCTTCCCGAGTAATCCTTCTTTCTTTTTAAATCGCTCCCCTTCCGTAGCTCTTGTGTAAATGCTGATTCTAATTATACATTTCACTGATGGATATGATGGCTGCTTAAATGGAATATTCCAGTCTTGAAAGAGTCCTTTCTGTACTTTTTCAGGTGGCATAAAATGACTCTCCAAGAGTCTTTCACCAAACAGGTAGTTGTTCATTGTTTCAGCAACTATCTTGGCAAAATCCTCAGACTTAAACTCCACAAATGCATAGCCTTTGCTATTTCCAGGCCTTTTATTTCTGGATAGTCTGAACCTTGTAACAGTGCCTTGTAACTGGGAGAAATAGGAAAGGATCTGGGTTTCCTTCGGTAGGTTAGGTAGGTGGCACACATAGATTACTCCAGAAGAAAGTTGTTCTTGTTTTTGTGTTTGATTTTGTTTCTGAGATGGAGTTTCACTCCTGTTGCCCAGGCTGGAGTGCGATGGCATGATCTCGACTCACCGCAACCTCTACCTCCTGGATTGAAGCGATTCTCCTGCCTTAGCCTCCTGAGTAGCTGAGATTACAGGCATGCACCACCACATCTGGCTAATTTTTGTATTTTTTGTAGAGACAGGGTTTCTCCCTATTGGTCGGGCTGGTCTAGGACTCCTGGACCCAAGTGATCTGCCTGCCTTGGACTCCCAAAGTCCTGCAATTATAGGCATGAGTCACTGCATCCAGTCCAGCCTTGACTTTGAAATGTATGTTGTACATCCAGTCAGCAGTGAACTCTGGGGGACACCAGAGATGAGAAAAATGAGAGAAGAGATACCTCTAATTAAAGGAGTTAAGACCAGATGTTTGAACTTATGTTTTAAAAAGTCACTGCAGGTTGGACACTGGCTGATGCCTGTAGACAGAGCACTTTGGGAGGCTGAAGTGGGTGAACCACTTGAGCCTAGAAGTTTGAGACCACCCTGGGCAACAAGGCAAAACCCCATCTGTATACAAAATGAAATAAATTAGCCGGGTGAGGTGGCACCTGTGGTCCCAGCTACTCGGGAGGCTAAGGTGGGAGGTGGAGGCTGCAGTGAGCTGAGATCCACCACTCCACTGCAGCCTGCATGACAGAGTGACACTCTCTCTTAAAAAATAGAAAAAATCACTGTTTTGTGGTTTTCTGGGTGAAACCTCTGTTTCCATAAGAAAAAAAGGGGGTTGAGACAGTATGTATTATTAATTCAAAATCATAACCAGATGCTTAAAGTAAATCATTGTATCTATTGTTTCCAAAACCAACCTCAGGATTGTTAAAAGTTAGTTTTATTGGATTTTTCTTTAAGCTGGGCTGGTTCACTCAGGTCTGTCACTTCCAAGCCCATGTTTTCCTACTTTTTAACCCTGTTTGGAACGAAAACTGCAGCTAAGATTATGATCCATCCTGAGATGAAGAGTTTCACACATACAAACCACACATACCCCCCACCACAGTATGATGACACAGTGACCCAACCTTAGGCTAATGGTACCACTGCCAGCAAATGCATTGTTTTCTTTATTCTAATTTTTTTTCTTTATTTCTTCTAACAGCAGCAAATGCATTTAACCATTTATTGAGATTCTCAACAGCTACCATTTGGTTTGCAGAGCAAATTGTTTACAAAGTAACTTTTTTCCATTTTTGATATTTTAATGAAAATTATGTTCTTCAGTTTTAAAGCTCCATCCCTCTCCCAAAGAAAGACTAATAACTAACTACTAAGTAATGATTTCTTAGGAAAAGAACAAAAGCAAAAACAGCTTTTGAACACTTCTGGAACATGGGGAAGCTTCCAAAGTCAAGACCTTCTGGGCCCAGTGGAGGTGCTAGGCTGCCTCGGGACACCATCAGCACTTCCCCAACCACAATATCCTTGACAGCGGAGAGCCATGCGTGACTCCAGGAGCTTCCTGTTCCACAAGCTCCCCTCTCTTTTTCCTCTCCACCCTTGCTGCTGGGCCTCCCCTCCGAATCTGCCTAAGGAAGGCAGCAGGGTCTTTAATACCATTCGGCTTTGTCAGTGGGGAAAGGGTACTCTAGAAAGCTGAAGATTCCCTGTGGTCCAGTCAGGAAAAAAATACTGGGTGCTTAACATAGATGGTTTCACTTGTCCCACTGAGACACATGCTCATATTTATTGATGGATCGTATCAGATGCTTCAAAAGTCCTGATGTGTAGTAGTGAGACATTTGCTTGTGAAAAAAAAGTTTGCAAAATTATAAAAATGTCTGCAGCAGTTGAGCTCTGAGGACAAAGCTGGTTCTGCTAGTAGTTATTTTGACATGCAGCAGCTTTCCCTAAAGTCCTGTGTTCGGGGGTTTCATGCATTTAGACCACAGGAAGTTGAAATCGAAGTTTAAGGCCCTTCTCTGCTGACAAAATGTGCTATATCCATTGGTGGACTTCCCTCAGTAATAGAAAGACAAACTACCACAAGACCTATACATATGTCACATGGATCAACCTCAAAAACATTAGCAGAAGTAAAAAAACTGGACAGGAGAACACATATTGTATAATTCCATTGATTTGAAATGTCCAGAAAAAGGTGGGATTGGTGGGGCAGAAATGGTCTCCTTTACCTCAAAAGAGGTAAGTTCAAACTCTCTAAGAGTACATGTAATTATACTTTGAAAAAAATAAGGAAGAAATTGAAGTATGCTAAATAAATGAAAATAATGAAAATACTCCTGATTGTAAAGAAAATCACATTCTTTTTGTGTTGGAAGACAAAATATGAAGAAAGGATCTTTATTGCCACTCAAAGAAACGTTCTGGTTTGTTGTTTTTATACTTCTTTATGCATTTGAACATTTTTAAAGTAGGAATATAATATATAGTCTTTTGTCACTATGTTTTGGGCATATTTCTATAGCACTAATATATCTACTTAGCATCATCCTTTTAAAAGCTTGATGTATTAAGTTAATCATTATTACCCCAGGTATTTCTTATATATATTTTTTAATGGATGCAAGCAAGCACTTTTGGGCTGAATTCATGAAGTAAATTTCTGGAAATAACATAAAACACTTTAAGATTTTCACATGAAATTTTCAAATTATCCTGCAAAAATTGGTTCAGTTTATACTCCCAAAGTGGCAGAGCTCAGTGTCCCCTTCCATTTGTTCCCTTTACTGGTACTTTAAGGAGAAAATCTGTATTTGTTTTCATTACATTTCTTTGGTTTCTAGTGCTTTTGAACTTTTTTTTTTTTAGATAAGTCTTGCTCTGTGCCCCAGCTGGAGATACAGCGGTGCAATCTGGCTCCACTTACAACCTCTCTCCTGGGTTCCATGCATTCTCCTGCCTCAGCCTCCCAAGCAGCTGGGATTACAGGCACACACCACCACACCTGGCTAATTTTTTGTATTTTTTTTTTTAAAAGGCTAGAGATGGGGTTTGCCATGTTGGTCGGAGCTGAGTCTGGAACTTTCCTGACCTCGGGTATTACCCACCTTGCAGCCTCCTAAAGTGCTGGGATTACAGGCATGAGCCACTTGGCACCAGCCTTGTCTCTTACATGTGCTTATTAGTCATTTTTTTCTTGTGGGAAATTTACTGTTTCTCCATTGCCTATTTTCCCAGCCAGCCTCCAAGTACATTTCACTTGAATTTTATCCTGCTGATTGAAGCATTTTAACACAAGCAGGAGCAGGACTGACTGTAATTATGTAGATCTTGCTCTGTCACCCAGACTGGGTGATGGCATGATCATAGCTCCACCACAGTACTGCTGAGCTGAGAGGCAATTTCCTGCATCCTCCCAAGTAGCTGGGACTACAGGCATCATGTCATGCCCCACGATGCCCAGCTAATTCTGTAAAATTTTTGTAGAGATGTGAATTCACTGTGCTGGCCAGGCTGGTCTTGAACTCCTGACTTAAGTGATCCTCCCTGTGGTTGCCAACGTGCTGGGATTACAGGCGTGAGCTACTGCTCCGGCCCCGGAAGGCTCATTTGTTTGCTGGTGGAGTTCTTGGTATCTTTTTATGTTTGAGGCTTTGGTGCTGAGTACTTTGAAGAATATTACACTCACCATCCCAAGTTTGCAGGACTTTTGTTTTAATATTGAACAGATGGAACTTCCATGTGGTTCTGTATCTTTGCAGGCATACAAAATGTGCCTACCACTGTGATTCTGTTTTATATCCATTGAAAGCAAGAAGTAATACAGTAAAACTTTGCCTGGCTTAGAGACTTTGAAGAATGGGAGTATTTTGGTTAATTCCTATTAATTTGGAAGTGTAGAGGGTGAAAGAATTCAAACTGCATTTCCTGTTGAATGCAATTTGAAAATACAGCCAATCATTCCTTTTCTTTGTAATGGTTTGGACATTCTCTGTTCTATGGTGTTTATTGTAGAACTGCTAGTGTACCTAGGGCACTACGACATTGTGAGAATGGGATTTTTAAAACTTAGAGTAGAGACAATGAGTGACTGTATGAGATCAGGCTGGATGAGCACTGACACTTGTAAATATACTTTGTGACTGAATCTCTGGGTGCACTTGTTTTCTTATTAACTCATACAAATAAAACACATCAGATGGGAACAGGTGTAGGAAGGGAGACTTACTTGTGACTTTTAGTGCATGTCATGGTTTCGTATCAAGACAGAACATACAGTATCTCTCTGGCTTTGGACCTACAAGTAAAACACATTTCACCTGCATATGCAGAGGTTCTTAAACATCTAGGAGGATTACTGCAGCACAGTTATGACCCTACTCAGAGTTTCAGATTCACAGGTCCAGGGTGGGGTCTGAGAATTTGCACTGATAAAGTTCTGGGGTTCTGCTGGTGCTGCTGAAAAGTCCAGAGACTACATTTTTGAAATTACTCTTTGTCTACTAACTTATACTGGTGTAGGAGCTCTAGAAAAAAGCTTAGTTTGGTGTAGGAAAAAAGCTCATAGTTATGCACAGCAAATCATGAAAGATTCAACCATGATCTCAGCCTAGTGTGGGTCAGGTAACAAACAGTACAGTCCACAACACAGTTCTTGATTTTCATGATTGTAAGTCATAGCCAAGTCTATCCGATGAGAAATTCAGTTTCATTTGCAAGGCTTAGAAGTCAGGTGATTCTAGAAAAATAGACCTTGTATAACAAACCAGAAGAGCTTTGAGTGCTTATTAAGTTGAAAGTTTTTGTGTTTTTATTTACTTTTTGACTCTTTTTATTTTGTTTATTTTTTTTGAGATGGGTCTCCTCCTGTCCACACAGGCTGGAGTGCAGTGGCGTGAGCTTGGCTCACTGCAGCTACCACCTGGGTTCAGGTGTCATTACTCTGCCTCAGCTCCTGAGTAGCGGGATTACAGGGTGCCCTACCCACCTGGCGTAACTTTCATGTTTTTAGTAGAGATGGGGTTTCTGTGTTAGCCAGGCTGGTCTTCAGACTCTGACTAAGGTGATCCACCAGCCTAGGCCTCCCAAAATGTTAGGATTACAGGTGTGAGCCACTTGTACAGCCAAGCTTTGTGTTTTTAAAGATATTGAACATGTGTTTGTTTTTTTTAAAAAAAATCTTAATCATGTAGGAGAATAAAAATGTTTTTCCAAAAAGAGAAATCATTGTGATTATTTTACCTTTTTGGAATGTTGAATCATATAGTCCACTTCATTAATCATCAAACATGCTATGATTTTCATTTTTATAGCATCTATCTCAATTGAGGTAATACTGATAATTCTTGTACTCCATGTGAAGGTGAAAAATGTAGGCCAAAATCATAGACCATGCATAGAAGCTGGATAATGAAGAGAGCTCTGGAGGAACATATGGACACACACACACACTGACACACATATTTACAGTATAAACACATATGCTTTTTAAGTTTATTTTGAGCGTTTTAAAAGCAAAAGCCAGCCCCCGCTCCCGGGTCAAGCAGGCCGCCTCTCCCCAAGTGGCGGGGACAGCAATGCGTGGGCAGCTTTCCTTGTGATGTCACAGTTCCTCTGGCCACACTGCTCCTGGCCACGCCTCCTTTTCCCTTTCATCTGCTCTCAGTGACCAATGGAAGAAAAGCAGAAGTGGCCATGCCCCATTCACATTCTGAAGAAGGCTTGAGGCCCTGGTTAAGCTCTCCTCCTAACTCAGTCACACAATACCTGGTAAGGTGAGCTGGAGATTACAGTCTGGCCCCAACCCTCAACTCCCCTCCCACCCCATGATGTTAGGCAGAGACTCAGCAGAGTCAATTGGCAGCAGCCAAGAAAAGAGTGAACCCACAACCAGGTCATGGCCCCCCAGCCTGCTTAGAAAGTCCCCTCGGTAGCAAGACTGTAGGTACACACCACTCCTGAGGCACCCTAACCTGGCACCTCTGGGCTCCCCCCACCAAAGTCTCATCAGTCAGCCCTGCCCCCTCAGCAAGCAGCCCAGCCTCTGCCTTTGTGATCGCTCCATGTTTTGGCAGGTGACTCCTGGGGCATCCTGCTCCGTACTCGCCCCTCATCCTGCTGCCCAAGCCTTACCTCCTGGAGTTTCTTTGGGTTCTACAGCTGTCAGAGAACCTGGGTCCCCAGCCCCAGTCCCCACCATCGCCAGTAATCCCTACCAGGTGAAGCTTGCAGGCTGGTGACTCTAGGGTTTCCTGCTGCAGACTGTACTCTCCTCCTGCTAGGCCCACAAGCCTGACCTCCCTGGGCTCTTGGACATCTCAAGGACTGGGCACCAGCTCAGCCACACTCCCCCATCTGTAGATCAAGCAACTCAGCCAGCACTGATGTAGTTCCCCCTTTGAGGAGGGAGTGGAATGTAGTGGCGTCACAGGTCCCTGAGAACTGTCATTACTGCTTGAGCCTTTACTGATCTTGCTTAGTCCCTAAGCATTCGCCCCATTTCTGGTTCCTCTGGCCACATACATTTCCAACTGGGAGGAATGGGGACTATGGGACTTAGGAGCAACAGGTTTCAGGTTGCCTTACTCATAGACATTGACTTTTTGGCCGAAAAGCCTACACTGTGAGCTCAAACGTTGGCAGTCTCTGGGCAATGGGAGAATGGGTTTAGTTTAGTTTTCTCCCAGCCTTCTCTCCAGAGACTTTAACATGTTTTCTCAGTTCTCCACCTCTATATTCTAATTCTCACAGTTCTGAGGCCAGGCTGCCCTTCAAGTCAGTGGTCTCTGAAGTGAGATTACTTATATCTTCTTATGGAGATAGATCTTGGAAAACTGAACTTGACAAGCTTGAATCTTCTCATATCATCTCAACGGAATTGCTTTGAGTGCCAGATAAATGTAGGAGATCTTTGACATCAGTTTCCCTTAGTTATCTTGAGAAAGCCTTAATGTATAGGGATGACAATCCACATATGTTTCTAAGAGTACATGAACTTCTCTCTGAATCAAGACTTGGGTTATATCTTTCTGATCCAATTCCCAGTTAACAAAAAAGCTGCCTTCTGCCATGAGGACACATGGATGTAAGTTTGAGAGGTCCTGGTGCATGCTTCACACCCACAGGCGTGTGGCGAGGATGTGTGACTCCCAAACCACACAGTGTCTGCAGTTCTACTACTTAATCATTTAGTTTTCTTTACCTCTGCTCTGATTTTGGTCTCTGGCAGCTGCTGATTCATAGCCAAACTTCAGGCAGGTCAGAAGATGAGTTTTAGAATCATTATTGCCCACCCTCCCTTTTTTTTTTAGCCATAATATCCATCCCTCTCAATCAATGCAGTGATTGTGAAAACACCTTGTACAGTTGTTGGTGACATTAAATTCAGGTATTATATAAAAATTATTTTGAAAAACTATAAAAGGGGACATGGCCGCAGGGCTAATTGTTAGTTCTCATATTATTACTGCTCTTCTTTCCCAGCTAAAAGAATATCAGCAGAGAACAGCCCACCGGTGTTAGAGGCAGGAAGCGAACAAAAGAAGAAAACTGGCGACAGCTAAGGACAACACTTCTGGTGGTTGCCCTCCCCACCTGGGGATGTGGTCTTGGCTGGCCAGGCTCCACTGGGACAGGAAGCCAAAGAAGAGCAGTAGAGGTGATGAAATTAAGGTGCTGGGTACTGGTTAAGAATTTTGGGTTTTGGATCCTGCCTCTCCATTGGCTGAGGATCTGATTTATGGCAATTGCTAGGGATTCTTTGGGCCTCTCTTTTCACATCTATAAAATAGGGGTAGTGTTGTTTGATTTTCATTTACATTTAAATGATATTCCATATTGTTGTTGCTTTTATGTTAATCCTAGTATGTCCTGTTATGAAGAACACCAGAGTACAGAAATCGTGTTTGCTGTTTTGATTTCCTGGTCCCAGTCTCACGGGGAGCTGGGCCAATGGAAATAGCCATGCCTATCAAGCTGTCCTTTAGTCACAGAAGGGCTCAGGTGTGGTGAGAAACCCCAGGCACTAGGATTAAAGGAAGATCTAACTTGCCACCAACATGACGACACAGAAAAAATCACTTCTTACCTAGGCCTCAGTGTTCTCCATTGTAAGATGATACTGGACAAGATTCAGTATCTTTCAAACTTGTTTTTAGCTGCAGAGCCCCCTTAGTTCAAGTGAGCCCTTAGTCAGAGTCTGTGATTTTTAATAGAGGTGGAGGTCACAGGGCTCTGCAGATTCATCAAATCCACGTCCTGTGACCCTAGGAGGTCCAGTGAGCATCTTAAGAGCTGCATTGGTCAGGTGGCTCACTGTGACTGCATTGCTCAGGGCTTTCCATCTATTTGTTCCTGCCCCTGGCAAAGTGGCAGGTGGCCATTTGGAAGAATGGCAGGCCATAGTTTCAATCTCTCCTCTGCCACTGTCTTCCTCAGCGTTTATTTTCCTGAAACCACATCTTCCTCCCATACCCTGACTTTTTGTTTCTCTCTAAGCCACACTGTCTTCTGCCCCTTGTTTTCCCTTGTCCCCTCCTATAGATTCAGGGACATTGCAGAAGGTGATGTGATGTCAACCTTAAGCATTCCAGGTGGGTAAACGCTCCCAGTACTGGGAAGTGGAAGGTGAGGCGGTGCCAGGACTCCTCTCTGGCATGCTCTCTCGGTGTCACATGCCCTGAAGCTTCTCTGGTTTTGAGGATACTTTTTCTGCATGTTTATGTTGCTGCCATTAATAGCCTACATTCTGTTTGTATCTAAACCTTCTTCACCTGCTTGATTGATTGGGTTTTCATTACTCATCTTTTTTATCATCTCTTGGAAATGGTGAGATATAAAGTTTAAAAGTAACTTGAATGCTTATACAAACTGAGCATGTGTGATTTAGGGATTTTTTTTTTTTTTTTTTTTTTTTTTGAGATAGAGTCTCACTGTCGCCCAGGCTGGAGTGCAGTGGTGAGATCTCAGCTCACTTCTCTTTGCCTCAGGTTCAAGTGAGATTCTCTTGCCTTAGCCTCCTTGTAACCTGGATTACAGGCGCCTGTCACCCACACCCGGCTAATCTTTATTTTTTATTAAGAGGCCCAGCCAGGTTTAACCATATCGGCCATGCACAGTCTTGAACTCTGGCCTGCACTGATCCACCTGCTCAGCCTCCCCAAGTGCTGGGACTACATTCATGAGTCACTGTGCCCGGCCTTTCTGTTTTTATACTTTCTCTATATCTGCTATTTCCTGCTGAGAGTGTTTCATGCACTTTGTTTTTTAGTTCTCTTTTTATTACTCTGCATCATCTGCTACCTGAAGGACCTGGAGAGTGAGGCTGAGCCAAGGTGCAGTGACCCTGCAGGCCAGCCCTCTGGCCTCCTCTCAGTGGGGGCTGGGTGCCCCCCTCTGCCAGCTGAGACAGCCCCGCACACCTCAGCCCTAATGATTGTTTCTCTCTACCTCCTTTGCAATCCTCCTCCAACCTGCTCCTCTCTCTGCTGCCTTCGCCTCAGGCGGAGGTCAAGAACTGGGGAGAAAGCCAGCCTGGACTCCAAGCTCGCAACAATCAATCAACTCTATGAAAACATAAGTCTTGCTGAAGCTAAGAGTCCAGTGGTCCTGTGATTCACGCTGCCAATCCTGGGTTTTATTTTCCCCGCCCGGGACATCATGAAGAAAGGTGGGTCCTAGTTTTCCAAAGGGCAAATAGGGAAGCTGGGCCATGAAGCCTCACCTGGAGACCCCAGAGTAAGAGGCACAGCATGCGCTCTTCTGTCACTGCCCCCTGCCAGCATCTCTCTCCAGAACACCCCTGCTCCGGTCCTTACCACACCGCTGCCTGAGTTGTCCACCTCTCAGGAAGCTAGCCTGGCGGTTTTGTCCACAGGGTGCCTGTATTTCTGCCGTGACTCAGTCCCTAATTGCTCTTTTGAGTCTGGACAAGCCTCTCCTCTTGCGTTGGTGTTTCTGAAGGGGAGGTAGAGAGAGCATCCAAAGATGGAACAGCTCTGAGAGTCTGATTAAAGGCTCTAGAGTATTAGAAACCTTACAGGCCACAAGAGCTCCTGTCTGTCCTTTCATTCTATATCTGCTGTGAAGAAACGGTACCTGGCCTTGTGCTCAGTAAATGTTTGTTGAATAGATGCCTTCCTCAATCACAAGCTGGCAGAGGGTGGGCAGCCTCACCTGGAACTCATCTCTAGGGATTTTATGTTACTGTCCTTTAGAGAATCCAGATTCAGACTTTGGTTCTGTGGCTGTAGGCAAAAACCAACAAAGACCCAAATCCTCCCTGTCCTTCTGCGACTTGAGAGGATTATTTAGTTCATGCTTTCACTGGGTCTGAGAGTGTGTTGTCTTTAAAATTCATTCCTGGCACCATAATACCCTTCCTGGTATGAGAATAGAGTTGAGGAGCCACCTCGGTCACCTGAATTTGGGCTCTCCCCACAGAAACAACAGAAGAAACAAGTGGTGATAAGCTGGAAAATGGCGTGATTGCATTTACTCACAACAGCAGCTGCTGGGTTTGGGGGGCACTCGAATCTTAGAAACACAGATACAAGTGCCAGCCCTGCAGCCTGGGGGAAGAAGGCACATCCCACAGATTCTGCATCCCCTACCAGTCCTGATAACCCTGGTCCCATGGGTGTAGGCCTGTGCTAGAGCACTTGGCGTCTGAGGCATGTCTCTTGCTGTGCCATCTCTCTCCGCCAGTGAGCTCTGTCTTTCCCTCTTCTATAGAAAACAAATAATAGAGTACACACAAATTACAAGCGAGGCAGTTAGAGGTGGAGTGGAGGGTGGGGGAGTTTCTCCTGTCCTCGAAAATGTTTCTTTCCCTTCTCTTTCAACTTTTGTAACTTTTCTCTCAAACATTCCATTTCAGGCAATCAACATCCTCACGCTGGGAAAAGGCAGACTTGGGAACCCACCCTTTACCTTACTAAGCGTGCACTTGAACACTTGAAGGTGGGAATCTGGGCACCATCATCTCTTCAACCAGCACTTTACAGCAGGTCTTTGAAGGAATCCTTTGGGCCCCATCTCAACCTCTGTCGTATCAGAAAGTCCCAGGATCTGGCCGGCCACCTGTCTCTTTAGCGTATTCAAGAGGTGAGCGGCTCTCTCTCTTCTCTACACAGCAGCAGGAAATGGATAAAGGTGAGTCAACCAACTGCCCCCGTCCTGGCCCATTCCCAAATGGAGGAG